TTGCTTTGACAGCTTGCCCTTGGAGCGTTCCGCACGGCTATAGGTACAGCCTCCTGGTCTTCCTGCGGAGACAGATTGTGACACTGCAGCTGTCTCACGTAGGGACGGCCATTGTTCCACCGGCAATGCCGATGCAGCGATCAGTACCAGCACGGTAGTGTTGCCTATAATGGATTTTGGTGATGAAAACAGAAGCAAATGGGGCTCTGATATGGAAGCAACTTGTATGGCGGTTACTTTTGCTGAAAAAACATGTACTGTATGACATTCCTATGTGGTAAGGTACTAAGGTTATCAGTGCATGCATCTACTTATACAGTTTGTTAACCGATGTTCTACATGCATTCTTATACATTGAAGATTTTTGGTCCCACACAAAAGATTATATCGAAATATTTCAAATAATTGCAAGTTGTGCCAAATATGTTTGACCAAATTTAATCAATTGTCAGCATACAATAAAAAAGTCTAATTCGAAATCAGAGTAAAATCACAATTATGCATAACAAACAGGGGCAAAATTGCATGGGCATTCATGTCCTTTTGTACAAAGTTTAACACCGTTAGGGGTGGATGACGGAGCAGAGGCAAACTGGTGCTTCGTGAATGGCACAGTAGGGGTGAATTCACAAAGTAAAAAAAAATAGGGGCAAAATCACAATTTCGATACAAAACAAGGGTACAGACGCAAGAGCTCCTATTTTGTTTTCATTGTGTTTTGGTTAGAGGCTTCACCGATTCAAACAGCATGCTAGGTCAAACTCAATGCTTGCATTTTTATAGTGCGGGGGCTTGTAGTGTGTCAGGCACGGCATGGCCAGGATGAGGGATTTTAGATACATAGTTCTAGACAGCTTATATCAAGATGCGTAGCAAAATGTATGTACTTGGAAAAAAGCCAGAACGACTTACAATTTGGAACAAAGGGACTACTTTAATTGTGGAGTTTGGAAAGAGCTTTGAGGGGGAAAATCATGTTTCGTTCTAATTATAGGTCACTTTAGCTTTTTTTCTAAGTCAAATTTCTCTAATTTTGATCCTCTTTATATTAACTGCACCAACATCTACGACATCAAATTAGTTTCATCAAATTCTTCATGAAATGTTTTGATAGTGTATTTATTTGAATTTGTGTATGTTAATATATTTTTTCTAAAAACTTAATCAAAGTTAGAGATTTTTTTACTGAGTAGAAGTAAAGTGAACTGTAATGTTGAAATTTAAAAAGGAGTATCGCTTTAGTTAGTACATATCACTTGGGGCTCTTATTCAGCTGCAAACTTTGATCTTCTCTAATGTTTCCAACTCTGGATGAGGCTAGCCAAGCTTTGCTTTCTGCTGATCATTATAAAATTAAAATCTTTGAATCAGATTACAGCAATGTTTTGTTATAGGTTGGAACGCATTGATAAACTACTCCTTATTCAGATCTTCAGCTTTCCTCACCTCCAAGCACAATTTTAGCAGTTTGACTGCGGAAAAAAGTGTATACATGCAGGAGCTGTAGTAAAGAACATCAACCAGGAAAGAACACTATACGGAGAAATATGATGTAGTTATACATGAGCTTCATTATTTAATTTCCTGAATGCAACTAGCCTTTATCTGCAAAACAACTAATCAATCATACCCCCGTGCTGCCAGATCTTCAGTCGAGAACCAATCAACTGTGCAAAATAAAGAGACCATTGAAAATTAGAAGTCAATATCAGCTGCTTTCCTTTTGCCAACGAATCTGCTAACAGAACCAATTGGATCAAACAGGTATTCTGTACCAAAATGCAGCAACTATTTTTAAATTTCTGTTGGCAAACAGTTTTGCATTCCATCAACAGTGACAAGCAGCAGGTTCTGACATAGGAATAGCCGAATAGGATCAGGGGAAATGCTACATCAGATTGCACTTGCAAATACGGCAATACTACAGAAATGAACATGTAGTTAGGTAGAACGATGCTTTGTAATTGTGTTGCACGTGTTTCCTAGTTCAAGGTTAAAATTCAGAAAAGTTTCTTTTATCCGTCTTGTGGCAAATATGAACACTGCACATGCTTCACTTGTCATATAACTTTTGTTAGAGTTGACATATAACTACTGACACGAATTTGAAATTGCTTCACCTGTGTTATTGCAACATTGCTCTCACCTCATATTTTGATCTATAATTCAATGGTACCAAGAATGCCAGCATCACTGCATGTGTATAGAACGGTTTGTGTCTTGACCTCTCTGTTGCATGTGGCTCAGTCTCTTCTGGCTGTTTCATAATTTCTTTGATTCACATAGCAATCTGATGTGCTTCTTCAGAAAGCACATTATTGATGTGCTTCCTATATTGTAAGAAATTAGAATGTGAAGTATGTACGTATTTAAATATTACTAGCTTCTTCAGAAACCAAAGGTTTCAGGTGTAAAATAACTACTACACTCGACAGTCTCCATTATTGATGTGCTTCTAGCATTTTATTGATTCTGCTGTACCTATTTTCAGCAAAGGTCTTGGATATGGACAGCCTTTTCTGGAGCAATTAAACTAAATGGAGGAGACACTTGAGAAAGTGAAGGAAGAGCTGAAGACCTGGTAGCGAGAGCTAGCTGATTTGTTGGAAATCAGCATCAGGACTCAGGAGTAGTGGTTTTGCTGTTAGCGCAGGGTGTAGTCTGTTTTTGCTTTGTTTTTTTGTTCTAACCCCTGTGTGTGAGGTCTGGTGTTGTATCACTGTTTGGAAATCTCTCTGCTTCTCTTCTGATTGCAGGCGCCTGTGCCTTGCAGTTGGTTAGGTTTTAGTTGCTGTAAGGTGTTGGTTCGGTGGAGGTGTCGACGTGTCAGTCGTGGTTGGATCTTTGTTAGCAAAATGGTGTATACTTTCAGTATAAACATGGCCAAGCCTTTGGTCTAATTAAACTGAATGTGGTTCAATATTGCTTTCAACATACATCCCACGGCTTCAAAGCTGAAACCACTAAATTCTTCACACGTGTACCATGAAAACTTGTGCATAAGCAATGTTAATTGTTTACACCAAGCTCCTTGAGTTGCAACTCAAGGACCTAACCTGAAAGCAATGGTAATTATTTATCAATGAGTAAATTTAAAAATCAAGCATTTTGGCATATGATTAAGAAACAACTGCAACTTCTATAGAAACTATTGCATAAGCATACACATGTTTTGGAGGTTCGGTGCAGAAACAACACTTTTTTTCTTGGTTACACCATGGTAAAATAGTTGCAGGCTTTTTATGAAAACTGTAATGTTTTTGCAACAGAAGTGTCCAGATAGCCGTTGGTTTCTACTAGTAGTATCCCAAAAGTTGTCAAATACTTGCATTTTTTATAAAAAAAAATAAACTCTCTTTGTCAAGGATGTAGACAGGCAACTGATCAATTCAACACTTTGTTGCAACAATTCAACCAATCAGCTACAATTTGAATAAAAAGCTTATGCCCTTCTTTCAACTTTATATAGCATTCGGCTAATTGTTGAGACAAAACCACAAGAAAAGTTCGAGAAACACCATCTATCAACTCCATACTCCCTCCCCCGCGTCGCTCCCACGCGAGCGGCTCGGGCGGCTCCTTCCCCCAAACCCTAGCAGCCCTCCCCTCCCCTCCCTCCCCCCGCCGCGCCGCCGTCGGAGCTGGCCGCCGGCATGGCTGCCCCGCCGGCAGGGATGGCGGCGGCGGGGCCTTTCTCCTTTCTCTTGGCGGCGCGTGCGGCAGCAGGTCGACGGCCCCTCCCCTCGCGTGAGCTACGTGGAGCTCAGCGGGGAGGGCCGTCGCGGCTATGGCGGCGCTGGCTGGTGCTCAAGCTGGCGTAGGGGACGGCGGCGGGCTCTCCTTCTCCTCCGCGCGTTCCCCTCCTCCTCTCATGACGGCGACGGCGGCGACAGCTGGGGCCGCCGGTCCGGGCCACGTGAGGTCAGATCCGGTGCCCGGGAGGCCGGATCTGGACTCCAGGCGGTGCCCGCGGTTGTGGTCAAGATGGAGGCGGCGGCGGCGGCATGGGCGCCAGGTTCGGGGCCTAGTGTCCGGATTCGGCGGTCCCAAGGCAGGGGGCGGCGCCCGAGATGGTGGGGCACACGCCCTGTAGCGCCAACGGCGAGGTCGGCTGCGACATCGGCGGGTGCCTAGGTCAACGAAGATGGTCAGTGGCGGCCTTGTCGTGCGGCACTGGGACGCGAGCGGCGGAGCCAGGTCCGGCTACGTGTCGCCCGAACGGAGGGGGTGACGGCCGACGCAGCTGTGTGGCTGCTGCGTGCAGCCAGCGCGTCGATGCCCCTCTGAAGGGGCTTCCGTGGGGCGACGGGACAGCGACGATGGCGGTGATGGCTGGTGGTCCGGCTTCGCGACCCAGCGTTCGTGCTAGAGGGTTCTTGGGCGAAAGCCTTGGCGACGGTGACGCTGGTTGGGCGTCGCTTCCCTGTTGAGGGCGTCGTGTTTCCCTTCTAGCATATCATCAAAGGGTGAAAACCCGATCCACTTTGGACGTGCGACGGTGGCGCCATCGACGTCGCTCCCTTCCTGAAGGCGTCGCCTCTGGATTATCGCCGCGGCCTCGATGCGAGGCATAAGTTTGCAGACTGGAAGTCGGAGCTGCTCTTCGATGGTTGAGCTTGGCAACGATGACCGGTGGCGATCGTTCCTTTGGACCCGTCGGGAGGTGACCAGTGGGTGGCCTGCCATGGGAAGTTCAAGCTGGCAGCTTTGCTTCCATGCTCGGCAACAATGATCCATTGCAGTGTGTCGTGTTTGTGCTCAATCGCGTCGCATGGGGTGGTTAGCCCCTCGGATGCCATTTTGGCTACTCGGTTGGCTAACCTTCTTATACATTATTACTTTCTTTCGTCTTAATTGAGCGGCAGAGCTCCTGCCTTTTGTTTAAAAAAAGAAATCAACTCCATACTAGAGCCTACAGTAACAATCCCAACACGAAAAAGGAACTATTTGTTCACTCAATGCCAACCTTGCTCGACACATGGTCATGCATCGATCACCCCTCAATTGCTATCTGTGAAGTCCGCGTCAATGACATCCCCATCATTCTGCGCTGGTCCGGTACCAGGTGTAGGTCCAGCCTCAGCACCAGGAGTAGGCCCAGCAGCACTGGAACCAGGCTGGTTATACATTGCCTGGCCAATCTGCATCACCTCTTGGTTCAAAGCAGCCATGGCGTCCTTCATACTCTGTGTTGATCCACCAGAAATGGCGTCTTTGAGCTCCTGGAGTTTCATGTCCACCTTCTCTTTCACGGGAGCGGGGACTTTGTCGCCAAGCTCCTTGAGTTGCTTCTCAGTCTGGTAGGCCACAGAGTCCGCCTGGTTTTTGGTGTCAATTGCATCTCTCTTCTCTTTGTCCTCCTTTGCAAACTTATCGGCTTCTTCTACCATTCTCTCAACCTGCAAAAGGAAGTAGTTGAAGCCTTCATGCACCAATGTAGGTACTATTTGTTATGGAATTAACGGAACCATACTACTCTACTACAGGATGGTAGAAAATAACAATGATACCACAGCATCATAAAGTAGCCAGCATCACATCATTGACACAAGAAGAATGAAACCTGGCAAATTTTATGTCTAACCGCCAAGGTGCCAACAACAGCTCACTACAATGATCAGACACAAGAATGCTACGCGGAAGATTTGTAACATACCTCATCCTTAGGTAGCGTACTAGCACCAGTGATGGTGATGTCCTGTTTCTTTCCAGTGCCCTTATCAATGGCAGCAACTGAGAGGATACCATTTGCATCAATATCAAACTTCACTTCAATTTGTGGGACACCACGAGGTGCAGGAGGGATCCCATCCAACCGGAAGCTTCCAAGGGACTTGTTGTCCCTGACAAACTCTCTTTCTCCCTGGAGAACATTAATCTCAACGCTCGTCTGTCCATCTGCAGCTGTTGAGAATACCTCCGATTTTGAAGTGGGCAATGTGGTATTCCTGGGGATAATCTTTGTCATCACTCCACCCAATGTCTCCAAACCAAGAGATAATGGAGTAACATCCAGAAGAACGACATCTTTCACGTCTCCCGCCAAAACCCCACCCTGGTGTTGCAATGGAAGCAGAATACATTAAATGTGGCATATTGGATGAGTCAAAATGATGCTTTACATCGTAATGATATGTGTTATGCAATTCTTTATAAATGCAACTTTGCAGCTATGTGGGAAGGAACATAAATGAGGGCTCTCCATGTAAGGATCTGCAACAATAAACCACATTTGAGGATAAAGAAAATCACCTGCACAGCTGCCCCAAGAGAAACAACCTCATCAGGGTTGACCGTAACATTGGGATCCTTATCAGTAAGCTTCCTCACAAGTTCTTGAACTGCAGGGATTCGGGTGGATCCACCCACAAGAATAACTTCATCTAGATCACTGACAGACAACTTGGCATCTCTCAAGGCATTATTAACAGGAGTTTTAAGCCTGTCACCAGAGCGAACATCAGCAAAGCCTTTGAAAAAATTATCATACATAGAAGATTGTAGATTTTCAAAAAGCGGCGGGCACAAAATACTGACAGAATGGTCACAGTTACCTGTCTATAAGGTCTGAACATAGTTCCTCGAATTTGGCTCTCGAGAGGGTTGCCTCAATGTGTTTTGGCCCATCAGCAGTAGCAGTAATGAATGGCAGGCTGCATTTAAGGCATTCAGAAATAAGCATTTTGAAATGATGTAGATCAACAGCAGAGCAGAACACTGCTCAAGTTTAAACACTTCATAAAAATACGCTGAAAGTAGCCTACCTAATATTTGCCTGTGTCAGCGTTGACAGTTCCATCTTAGCTTTCTCTGCTGCCTCAGTAAGCCTCTGAAGGGCTTGTTTATCCTTCAGAAGATCAATACCTTCATCTTTCTTGAAGTTGCTAGCAAGCCAATCTACTATTCTCTGCACAAGTCAAGGATAATATAATCAATATACTTGAGAGCTATCTCCCTTAAAATTGCTTAATGTATGAAGTTGGTTAGATACTCAGATCGATTTTGACATTCCATATGATCAATGTTTCAAAAGAAATGCTAGGCACTAGACAGGAGGTCAAAACCTGCCCAGCAAAGGCCAGAGTAATGGAATGCAAAATAGATAAAATTTGGCATGCTAAAGCATAAAATTTGAGATATGATGCATCCTTGAGTCTCATGATCATTGTTCATCTTATCAGGCACCTAGATGAAATTCCTACGTGTTAGGCGAGGCAATGCTACTCTTCCTAACACCATAGTCTCGCTGTTTCACGTGTGTTACTGATTTAATCTATCAGGAATTCAAACAAATTCAAAAATAGAAATGAACACACTCTATATGATTGGTACATTGTGAATCTGTGAGCTGCCTTTTCACATGTATCGCCCATTTGCTCTATCAGGAATTAAAATGGCATGTTTATGAATTTTTAAATAGAAAGAAATCTACATAGCGCTTGTTACTCAGGGATTGTTTACTGCAAAGTAAGGACACAAATGTAAGAGAAACAATTTCACAGTATGACAGTAATGTTTATAACAACATACAAAGCAATTAAATGGCGGGTGTTGAGAAAGTTCAAGTTCCCTGTGTAACGACCTACTAAAAAAGAACAGAAGAAAATTTTGACAGACCTTATCAAAGTCATCACCACCAAGGTGTGTGTCACCTGATGTGGAAAGCACCTCAAACACACCATCTCCAACCTCCAATACTGCAGGACGGTGTTACTTTAGTTATAACACGAGAATAAACATCTCAAAAAAAGCATTTAGGATATAATAGTAACACACTGGAAGAGAATGTCACTTTCATTAAGAAAATATAATTGGAACATGTTCATCCAGATGATCATCAAAGAAAAATGAAAACACCTGGTTCAAAGAGTTGAGCAACATAAAAGTACAACTAATGTTCTGGGACATATCATTTGACACGTTATAGCTCAAACTGGGCAAAATGAGAGTAAGAGCTACACTAATATTCCTGAAAAACCATTTGAGACCTTACGACTCGATCAGGGCAAAATGAAACAATGTTGAGCAATTCATACAGTTGAATAAATATTCAGCACATAGTTATGAACCAATTGAAAGCAAAAGGTTTATCTCAATTATATGAGATGATTATTATCCATGTGATTCAGAAGTAAAGCAATAATTAAAAAAAAAAGAAATAACAGGCGGAACACTTGCTTACCAGATACATCAAAGGTACCGCCTCCCAAATCAAACACTAGAATTGTTTCATTATTTTTCTTCTCAAAACCATAGGCCAATGATGCAGCAGTTGGTTCATTTATAATACGGAGAACTTCCAGTCCTGCAATGCGGCCAGCATCTTTAGTTGCTGTCCTTTGTGAATCATTGAAGTATGCTGGGACTGTAACCACTGCTTTTGTAATTTTCTCATTAAGAAACTTAGATGCATCATCCACCAACTTCCTCAAAACCTGTTCGGATAATAAACCAAGATAAGTCAGATGTACAACTTACTATGAAAGTAAAATGACAAGTATACGACATCTGTTGGTCGGGTAGCTAGTAGCAATTCGAAAAGTTGAAAGTAGTTTTATACAGATGATAACGTACCATATTTTATATACATTCAAAAACTCACTCCCCCAGGACATAAGTACATACATATAGAACACAAATGACCCAACTGCTTAACTGAAGCAAAGAAATTTCAAGGAAACCTCAATGTTGATAGAAATAATATCACAATGCCACTTGTTTTCAGGCTGAAATCAAAATACATAAACCCAGTTTGGTCCGCTCAGAATTTTACATATGCAGCATTCTGGAAAAACCTCTGCATTCAAAACTGGCACTAACTCTCCAAAGAATCATAACCCTATAGCATTACCAAAGATTGTAACACAGACTGGTTGCCTTGTTTGTTATATAAAAAGAACTGCCTTTAAACCCAATCATGTTTGTGTGACAAAATACATCTTATACCTCAAACGCCATGTAACCACTTGCATTACAAACAACATATATGGACTACCTTAACAAACGATTTGATAGGTCCAGGAGCTATTCTCTAGTAAAACTGGTAGTTTTTCAATATGGACAATTGACTGACAACAAGAGTAGCATTTATCCATATCCTCAAAACCCGAATTTCAATACAAGTCATCCCACAATTACCCAGTTGCATCATGAACAAACTTACAGTAAAATGCATATCCACCAGCTGAGAGTAGAAAACCTATCTAACATAACAAGTTACCTGCGCGGAAATCTCCTCGGCAGCGAACTGCTTGCCGATAGCGGGGCAGTCGAGCTTGACGTTGCCGTTCTCGTCCTTGACAACGCCGTACGAGACCTGCTTGGCCTCGTCGTCGACCTCAGACATCTTGCGGCCGATGAAGCGCTTGACAGAGAAGAAGGTGTTCTCGGGGTTGACGACCGCCTGGCGCTTAGCGATCTGCCCCACGAGGCGCTCCCCGGTCTTGGTATACGCCACGACGGAGGGCGTGGTGCGCGCGCCCTCGGCGTTGGTGACGACCGTCGGCTTGCCGCCCTCCATGGCGGCAACCGCGGAGTTGGTGGTGCCCAGGTCGATCCCCACCACCTTCTCGCACGTGACCCGCAGCGCGGAGCCCCCACGGGCGGCCCCGCGAGAGGGCGCGCGCATCCGCACCGCCGCCACCAGCCGCCGGCCCACGAAGAGGGAGCTCGACGGGGTGGCTCCGCTCCGCCGCCGGTAGCCGAGGAAGGGCGATGCTCCGCCCGCTGCCGTCGCGCCGACCTGGGAGCAGGTGAAGGAGGCCATGGCTAGCGCGCGTGCGGGGGGCAACTCCTAACCCTATCCAAGGAGGGGGAGGACGGGAGGTGAGGCGGGGACGGAGGGGGAACGGCGGAGGGGAGGAGGGGGCGAGGGGATAAGACGGGGAGGAGGAGGAGGAGGAGGAGGTGCGGAGGGAGGAAAGTTTATGCTGGCCAGACGCTGACGCGTGGGGCCCGCGGCTAGGTAGTTGGCGTGCGGTGCGGGTCGCGGCGCCGGCGGCCGTGGAGACCGCGTGAGGTTTTGAACACGGCTGGGGGCCCTGCAGGGCTGTGGCTTCTCAGAATCAGGCCTGGTTTAGATTAGTTTTTCACTTTTTTTTCATCATATCAAATTTTTGACATATATATAAAGTATTAAATATAGATAAAAAAATAACTAATTATATAATTTGATTGTAAATTACGAGACGAATCTTTTGAGCCTAGTTAGGCCATAATTGGATAATAATTATCAAATACAAACAAAGTGTTACATTGTTAAAACAAAAGTGCTACAGTGTTAAATACTGATTCCTAACTCCAATTTAAACAAGGCCTCAGTTGAGGGTTTTTTCTAGTGTGGTTGTTGAGCCGACGTCGCAGGTTTTTGGACGAGCAGGCTGTGCAGTACTGCAGTGTGCACGGGAGCGAGGTCTCAAATGGTGTCGTAACTCGTAACGTAGAGAACCTGCAAAGTATTATGCGATTGTGATGCTGCTTTTAAAGCTGTGTGTATGGAATTAATAATTAACATACTTCTATACGTTTTAGGCTTTTGTCCTATTCAAACTTTTGGTTGTTATTATGATGTTGTTCAGTGTCCATAACCAAAAGTTCACTCCCTCTTATTACTTTCTTTTGTCTAGATAAAAAACCTCTGGACACCCACAGTAATTAGAACCAGTTACCAGCTCTAAGTCAACTTTTTTAATTAATAGTGCTAACTTTTAGCATATAGCTTTTAACATAATAATCTGTGGGCACTACAACTTTGATGAGGTAGCAACCAGAGCCGTTGCCTAGGGTCAGGAGCCGCCACGGGTCTTCAGAAAAAACGCCGTCGTGCCTCACCGTCGCCACGCCTCCACCTAGGGCCCCTCTCCTTCTTACTCTTCGATTCGTGTGCCGGAGGTAAGAAGGAGAGGGGACTCATTTCTCTTTTCCACAGTTTTTAGTTCCAGTTTGTTTAGGGTTTAGTCTAAATGTCTAATAAATTTGCAGCGAAATCAGATGATTTTTGGTCGAGATCGCCGTTGCAGGCGTCGATTTCATCGACAGGCGTCCAATTTGTGCTCTTTATCTAAAGGGGAGGGGTGCTTCTGGGAGCCCCTATGAGGACAGCGACTCTGGGTCATTGATCTCGTCATCGATGGCCGCGGAGAGGATTTCAAGGTCTTGAGGTGATGAACATGTAGCCTATGTTGTACCCGATGATGCAACTACCGATATTCTTTCAGCGACTTAGATGTGTTTTGGACTGGTTCTGAAGTGTTAGATCTTACGGCATGTCTAATGTTTTGGGGTTGGTCGTTGGATTCGGTATAAGGACTGCACTTTGGCTCCGGCGTCTGAGAGATGACATTAGGAAAGAAGAAGATGGAAGAATCTGGATAGAATATTATATATTTTTTATTTTAGATTCTTTTAATGTGTAATTTGGGGATGTACTATGCCAAGATTTATATAAGTACCCCTTCCTTTCGCAAACATGGATAGCCTCACATGGCCCTCTCACACAACCTTGAAATATGTGCAAGAGCTTAGCTCTTGATCAAGAGCCTCTTCTATTAAAATATAAGAAAAATGTTTAAAGCTAACTTAAAAGTCAATTGTAGGAGCTACCCTTAGAGATTAAAAAAATACTAACTAAGAACTAAAGGTGCTGATCATCTTATGAGAGATCAAGTAGAATTAGTATGTTTGAAAAGATGTCATTTGCATTGGGGCGCGCCCGGCCTCACCACGGGTGGGTCTGCGACTACAACAAAGTGCTCAATGACCATGGGGGCGGGCCACCTCTCGCGATCGGCGCCTGAGACACGGTTGGAGTGGGAGAGGAGGCGCGTGCTAGGGGAAGGGGAGATGGGCACTTGGCTAGTTGGAGTGGGAGAGGGAGGCGCTGGGCGTGGCCATGGCGTTCAGGCGGCGCTCGTGCAACAGGAGAAGAAGAGAAAAAAAAGAAAAGAAAACGAACCGGTATTCTGTGTAACGAGTGGTAGTGGTGGGTAATTTCTCCAAGTCCACCAAATTTGGATTTGGTGACACACCCCTTGAGGTGCTCCACCAATTTGGTGAATTTGGAGTATATCCACCAATTTTGTGGAGCAGCCAGCGGTGTTTGGCTAAAAAGTTAGATCTGGATCTGAATTTCGTCGATCTAGATCTGGTGGAGCTGTCCCAAACAGGCCCCTAATATCCTGCTCAATGTTGGGCAAACAAGCTAGTCCTTTATTAAGTCTATCATTAAATACATAAAATCCACTTAAGAGCTAGAGGCATTTTCAGTTATGTTAATTTCCTACAAAAATATGTGGAAGGCCAATTCAATATCCCCCAATCCCCGAACCCTAAAACCCTTCTTAGCCGTGACCATTTTGATCCTTTTCACGTATGTAACTTCATTCTAGTCCGAGGACGAAAGCAACATGCATTGTGCAATAGATTCTTGTGGATAAAGGCTTGTATAAAAACATTTACAAATATAAACGGACTTCTTTCTTTTTTAGCGGATGACACAATTTTGCATGTAATAACTATGTCTTTTGAATAACAATCATGCATATCTTTATCTTTCAACAGTTTACTTGCATTTTGTTTATCAGTCAGTCGCTTTTGTTGCTGATAGGTCAAATCTGATTGTCGGTCACTCCACCCTCTTGGTTTATCTCATTACTCACGTTGATTCCTTTGCTCACTATCCCCACTGTGTCATCACCAGTCCACCGTGCCCTTGCCTTCTTCCACCTCTCTAGCATTGCTACTGAAAAAGATCAATGATGCCTAGAGGGGAGAGTTGAATATGAGTAATCTGAAGAACTCTTCGAATACTAAAAGCATCAGATTAGTGCATCAGATTAGTTAAACTGCATAGGTCACGCAATTTTGTATTGTCTTGGAAGTTACGCACACACACACACACGTAAGTTTCACAAAATATGCGCAAGTTAGGCAGTTCAACAAAAAGCTCAAATCACTAGGAAAATGGGTATCAAAATAGATTGTCGAACTACCACACTTCCTTAGGATGTATATGGTCTATTCCTTGCTGTATTTCCAATAGAAACTTCACACACACTTATGCACTTGAACAACTTCTCAACTTTTCCAAAAACTAGCTGAATCGAGTGCAAGTGTTGTGTATGGGTGTTTCTCATAGGTTATGTTAGATCTTTTGAGCACTAATTCAACCTAAGGTACTGAGATCCACATCCCTCATTACAGTATCACTACTGGAATCTCTCTTTTTTCTGTGTGTGCGAAAACCCACGGAAAAATTCGAATACCGTCAGAAAATAACCCACAGAAATAGAATGACAGAAAAATTGACTTTTTCTGTGGGTTCACCGTCAGAAATAATTTTTCTGTGGGTCTCACACGCTCAGAAAAATTGTGTTCACCCAGATTAAAACTAATTTTTCTGTGTGTTAGTCCACACAGAAAAAAAGAAATAAACGCACAGAAAAACACACGTTTTTTTCTGTCGGTCCAGTGAACTCACAGAAAAATTCATTTCGTCCAGATTAAAAATAATATTTCTGTGTAGCCAGCCTCACAGAAAAATCCATACAGTAATAAAGTCTACAAGCACGGTTCATAACTAATGACTATCATCATATTTCATCATACATGAATAGTATCATTTAGACATGCATCAACATGTTATATTCAGCAATCTCAATACATATAATCAGCATGAAAGTTGTTACATATCATTGTTGTTCATAACAATGGACTCAATGTTTCAATGTCATTATACAGTTACAAAACACAATGCTATTGAAACCATATAAACAAAGCACGGCTACTGATCAACATATCTACAATCTGTTATCAAACTAAGAAATTCCCAAAGCCTCCTGCAAAAGACCATTTTTCATTAATTAGAGTAATCTTGTGAATAGGAAAAAAATATTCAGAGGTAAAGAGAAAAATAATTTCTAATAGACATTGAACTGAATTAACCATAACTCAAGATAGTGTTTAGACACTAATCCACAAATTTCAGTAAGTTTATGAACTAGTTAATTTCAGTAAGATCTTATAGCTTAGATGATACTAGCTAATATTTGGTTTCATCAACAAAACTGAAAGACCTAATACTTTTCTCCACTAACTCTAATTAGAAAATCATAGGCACATCATTTTAGAGATGAAATAAGAAATATACCTATTGTCAACATCAAGAATAAATAAAAATAATTATAAAAAAAACTAGTTCAAATGAGAATACCTGAAGACAGTCAGCCATCAGTATATTTGTCAGTCAAACTGTACTGATCATTGCAGACTTTGACCATGTGTTGGTCCAGAATCTTTTCCAAAACCTCGAAGCACAAAAACAACCCAATTTAGCAATCACAGACATCCCATTGATAAAAGTACAAAAGCAATAGAATGACATAAGAATAATACAAAAGCAATAGAAAGGTTCTTATCCGATAATAATGTTGCTCTGAAAATATTTCCAGAACTGAATTTTTTGGATCCGATTACTTATCATTACTAAATTATTTTAAAAAAAACTATCCTCATAGAAGGGCCTTTCAGCAATGCATGCTGCCCAGTAAATTCTGTGGAAGGGGACCTTCATATGTTTAGGAGCTCGAAACCCATTTGGCACAGTGTAGCAACTCATAAGTATACAGACAAGTGCATATATATTCTTACCATAGACACACATCTAATTAAATAGGATGTACATTTCATTCTCAAGAAATGAAAAGAGAGTTACAGTAGTTCACTACAAGAGTGATCTGAGCATTGCATCCCGCTATATATTTACAAGGT